TTTAGCGAGTGACAGGGCGCCGGCCGGCCGTCCAGCGGATCCGCAGCTGGTCGAGGCCCCGCTCCAGGATCTCCAGGTTGGAGGGGCCAGTGTGGCTCGGCCCATCTGTGGGGAAGCACAGGGGTTGTCATCTCCAGGGTGCATGAGGCAGTGGGGAGACCTTGCTGGGATGGCACAGCTGTGTGCCCGGTGGGATGGGATGTCCAGGAGGGCATTTTGGGGGGAATGAGTGCTAAGGGTGCATCCACGATGAGCACAGCCAGGCACCCAGCACTGCCAGCGCTCGAGCCCCTCAGGGAAGAGGATGAGGGCCCATACCCAGCTGGCGCAGGGTGCCCCCAACACTTGTGCACACCCTGCGTGTCATCAGTGGCACCAGTGTGCCCAGCAGCTTGAAGTCACCGACGTAGAAGAAGAAGGCTTCAGCAGGCATTGAGGCCACACGGATCAGCTCCTTGTGGTCAGCGTTCTTAATCCCTGGGACAGAGGGAGATGCTAGGTGAGGGAGGGACTCTGAACAAAGCGGGAGACCCTCACACATGGTGCTGAAGCCTCGCTCACCCACGGCAAAGATCTTGATGCCCTGGCTCTTCAGCTTCGCTGCTGGCCCCTCAGCATCATCCTGGGACTTGCCATCCGTGATGAGGATGCAGATCTGCAGGGCCGGGCAAGAGCTGTGAGATCCAGCACAAGGCCCATGGACTTATCACTTCTCCCCGTGGGTGTCCCCAGGGCCACAGCCCTGCACGTACCTGGGGGACTCCAGGCCGGAGCTGCTTGGGGCCAAAGAAGTTGTCAGCAACATAGCGGAAGCCAGCACCGGTCCGTGTGTTGCCACCCTTGTAGCTCAGCTGCTGGATGGCTCTCCGGACACTCATGCCATCAGTGTGCTGTGAGAAGGGGAACTCCACCCTGGGAGATGCAGGAGGACACTGTCACCTCCCAGCCCTGCCATCCTGCCCCCTCACGTGCCCCACCCTGGGGCTCACCGCAGGTCATCACTGTACTGTGCCACGGCGAAGCGCACTGCCTTCTCTCCCACCACCTGCACGAAGGGCCCCACCAGGTCATCCATGAAGGTGCGGACAGCACGGAAATTGCTCCTGCCGATGCTGGATGAGCCATCCACCAGGAAGGCGATGTCAGCTTCCAGCACATCCTCGCACACCGCTGTGGGGCAGTGACAGCGCTCAGGGCATAGACTGGAACCACAGCATGGTGGTGCTGAGCCCCTCTCATTGTCCCACCTGCCTCATGCACCCAGTGCTCCGCACCCACCTTGGCTCCTTTTCTGCGCTGTGGCAGCCGGGGGACTCAGGAATGCGGGGAGCATTGCCAGGAGCAGGAGCCGGCCGCTCATCGTGGGAGCCTGCGGAAGAGGATGCTGCCGCCACCTCCCCACACCAGCCCCACTCCTCGGGGACCGCAGTCCGGGAGGTCCCGGCACCACCCGTGCCAGGACACCTGGCAGGGTCCCACGGCACAAGGAAAGCCCCTGATTCGGGCCGGGGTAGAGGGGCAGCAGCCTGCCCGTGTACACCCGGTGGGGCTATCCGCGGTGCGGGGGGTACGGGGAGCGCCTGGCCCCGCTCCAGCTCTTCCTCTCCAGCCCGGGCTCTGCC